AATAACTAGAGCATACAAAGCATTTGCTAGACCGATTGTAAATTTATGTAATTATAAACCCTCATTCCATTCCAATTCAGTTCTATCGTTAATAATCATTTAAACCATAACATCTTTAACACTTCTTTTCAATTAAATATCATACTTCCTTAAAAACACATATAATCTCCATAATTAATTTTTCCCTTATTTCTCTTCACGTTTTATAAATCATTAAATATACCTTTTGTTACATTTATTTATTGACAAGCATTCCACTGAATTATGATAGCTATTTTATCAGACATTTTAATCATACATTGTTTCATATTTTCTAAAATTATTCCTGCTTCTAATATAACCATACTATTTTATGTACCTTTGCAGAATCCCCTTTTCCATTAAGTTTTCACCCATTATCTCTAAATAGACCCTGTTTCTCTATATTTTGCTTCTGTCCTTTATAACTTCTTTTCCTTTCTTTCTTCCCTCTCACCTTCTCCCTCCCCTTTTTACCCCCTTGTCTCTCTAGTTCTAATTCTCTCTTCTGCATTTCCCTCTTCTGTTGCTTTCTGATTTTATACTTATTTTTCACTCTATTTTTTTTTGGAGTTGTTTTTCCCAATCTTAAACTTTCCATTCTCTTTCTCCCCTTTCCTTTTTCCCCGCATCTAAGATTACTTGTTCATTAAAGATAGCTTCTTCTTTGTTGCAATTTTCTCGTTCTGCGGGCATTTCTTGTTGTTTCTCATAATTCCAAATCTCCATTTCTAAAAACTGAAATACGAAGCCAAAAGAACCTCTCCCTTCTTGTGCATCTTCTTTGTACTTTTTAAGTTCCATTTTCAGTTCTTCTAAAAGTGGAGCCATTTTAAACAGTTTTAAACAACCATCCAATTGATTTTAGTCATTCAAAAGAATAACCAAGAATCCAGAAATCATCAAGTAATCCAAATAGTCCCGAGTTATATATCTTCTTATTTCTTTTTAGATTTTCCCTTCCTGGGGTTTTTGTTGCGATATTTCAGTTAAAATGTATCTTTTGGAAATCTTGTTGAGATTTTGCTGTAAGTTCTTTTTTAATTCCAGGCAGTCTCTGGATCCAGATCCTGCCCTTTTATTCTTCCTCTCTCTTTTCCTGTTTTCAAAAGCTTTTAATTATCCAGAAATCTTTATTATCCCTTTGACTTTTTATTTTCAGCATTAAATGCCTACTGATGTCAAAGTGGATTTTTTTCCAATTTCTTGCTTAAGTCTCTTAGCTGTCAATATAGGAAAAGAAGAAAACCAAATATTTTCCCTTTTCTTTCTCCTTCGCAGCTTAAAAATCTTCTTAGGGAACAATGTTATTGTTTTTTAACAGTTTCAATTCCAAGGTATCTTATTTGTTGCTTTTACTGTTTGACCCGGCCAACCAGGGTCTTCTTATCTTCCTCCTGCACATTCTTTTCCGATTGAGTTCTTCTTTATGGTGGCCATTTCTGACCACCGCTGCAACTGCCTTCAGGAAAGGGAGTAATGGCCAGCTGGGGAGGAGAGATGCAGCTCTCCTCAACCCTGCTGGCAGTCTCCCCCCTCTTCACCACCTCTACAGGGTGGCTTAGCCTCGAAACCAGCTGGCTCGGGGCGCTCCAGCGGCGAGCCTGGATCAAAGCCTCGCAGAGATGGTTTCGATCTGTCACTGAAGAAGCTCAAACCATTGTACTGTTGTACAATCTTTCTTTTTTTAAAAAGAATATAGTGTGTATTATAAGAATGTGCCAAGCCGAATTCAATTGGAAGTTATGTATGTATTATATGTATTATATTGAAGGTCTTAAACTTAAGGTATATATTGAAGTTTAAATAAGAGTTGAATGGATGTAATTAAAAGATATAAAGGTGTCATACTCCAATTAGTAACTACAGAAGAAAATTTGTTTAATGAGAAAAGATATATGAAATTGAAACAGAACAGACAAAAGTATAAATATAATGATTTGAATTGAGATGAGATAATCAAAATAAAATTGAGAAAATTAAAAGAGGGGAAAAACTATATAGAAAATGTAAAATAGTATAAGATATAGGATAGAATACAAAAAGGAGCATGAAATTGAGTTTTGTGTCTGTATAAAGAAGTTCAACCCGGGACCGTGCTATTTTCAAAAAAGATGTTTTACTTGCATTTTGTGTGTGAAAACCCAAATAAAACTTTATTAAAAAAAAAAAAAAAACATTTGCTAGACCAATACTCGAATACAACTCATCAGTCTGGAACCCACATTACCTATCTGATATTAACACAGTTAAGAAATCCAGAAATATTTCACAAGAAGAGTTCTCCACTCTTCTACTCATTGCAGAATACCTTATGCCACCAGACTCGAAATTCTAGACCTAGAAAACCTTGAACTATGCCGCCTTCAGTCCGATCTAAGTATAGTATATAAAATCATACATTGCAATGTCCTACCTGTCAATGAATATTTCAGCTTCAACCATAACAACACAAGAGCAAACAATAGATACAAACTCTAGGTTAATCGCACCAAACTTGCTTGCAGGAAATACGACTTCAGCAACAGAGTGGTCAATTTCTGGAATACTCTGACTCTGTGTTTTTTCCCCCAAACCCCAAAAACTTTAACCTTAGATTGTCTACTATTGACCTCACCCCTTTCCTAAGAGGTTTGTAGGGGGCCTGCATAAGTGCACCAACGTGCTTACCGTCCCTGTCCTATTGTTTCTTTTATATAATTTTTTTATTTTTCTTATATGTATCCATGTATTCATAACTATGTTTTTACTTATACCTATTATTTGGTAAGCAATTGACAAATAAAAAATAAATAAATAAAAATAAATATATAAGAAAAATTACATGATAGTTTTTTCCTGAAACCAAATTGTTTATTAGAGAGTAGGTTGTTTGTTTCTAAGTGGAGGATAACAGATTGGTTAATAATTGATTCCATGACTTTACAGGTGACGCAGCATAAAGAGATTGGTCTGTAATTTTCAACTAGGCTGGCGTCTCCCTTTTTGAAGATGGGGATGACTGTGGCTTGTGACCATAGTTTTGGCAAGGAGCTGGTCCTGAAAGATTTTTCAAAGATTATGCTTAGAGGTTTGGCTATGACAGTGGATAGCCTTTTTAAGAAGTAGGCATATATTCCATCCGGTCCAATAGGTGAATTCAGCCTATTTTACTTAGTGTTATGTGTGATTCAACACTAAGTCTCAGTCCTATAAAACAAGTAACAACTCAATGCCCTGTGTTTTGGGGAACTGGAAACAGCAAAATCATTAAAACATGGGAATGTGGATTGAATGATTTATTGGAAATGCAGTTTTCCAGAATAAAATATTTTTGTTCTTAAATTATGTCCAGAAAGACATTCCAAGTACTGTATGTGTTGAGAATCAAAAATTGTATTATTTAATGGGATGTACAAAATTATTTTAAAAACTTTATAATAGTCATATGTTTAGTCAATGAGCATACATTAGAACCAAATATTTATATCCAAAAAACATCTGGAGCAATTCCAAGTTAGACCAGAAAGAATTAACAGCATGAGGAAGATATATGCAATTAGTGTTAAAACATTAAATAAAATAAAGACATCAGTCATTAACAAACTTTCCCCCCCATATTACTCTTTTCTGTACTAATTCAGAAACCAGTTTCAAACAGCTGCCAGGATATTTTGTGTGAAACAGATGAAATGGTTAAAAGAAGACACAAGCAGTTATTGCAAAAATACAATTGATTCGTCTTGAAATCTTTACATACAAGTATGACTGAAGGCTTTTTGTAGTATTTTATCTTAAAGCTTTCTACAACATGAGATAAACAGAGCACCTTTCATGTTATTGTAGAAAGAAATTTAAATTAAATACAGTATATGAACAGTGAAAACAAGTTTTAAAATGTAGTTTTAATGCACTTTTCCTTAAAATCACATTTGACCCAAAGAATTAAGACCACTTAGCATTAGCCAGTAACTGCCTCTATATGTTTTACAGCCCAGATGCTGTGTAGCAAAGGTCCCTAATCCCATGAGTCCCAAATGTAAATATCCCCTCCCCCCTATATTTAATAACCTATAGAGTTCTACACATCACACTTCTGAAGTCTAGAGGTATCCAGAAAAGCAATAATTTGTTCCTAAAATAGGAAGGTTATGGTTCTGATTAGGAATTCCTAGCACTCATCCCCACAATGATGAATAGGCAAAATATTAACAACTACACTTTCTCTTATATTGTCATTCTCTTACTATCCACTCTTTATAATTTGTTTACCACTTGAAAAATACATTTTAAAAATGCAACTTTTGGCTACCAAAAATTACTTATTTGGCTTTGAATATCTCTGGAGTCAGATTTCAGGTTGATCTAAAATTATAAGTGTTACTTCTCGTACCTCATTTTTCAAATTTACTCTCTTATTCAAACTATAATGACAAGAATTCAAAGAACTATATAGCCTACATCACATTACTTTGGAGCTGGAGTCACCAACCTTTTGGACCTCAGGGACCACCAAACTCATAATTTTAAATCCTGTGGACCACTAATATGAATTTTGACTGATGGTGGCTTGCTGACGTTTTCCCAGGGT